ATTACCTCACCTTATTCTTCACTCTTATGACAACCAAAGCATTATTGGTATTGCCATTATGTTGGGACAATCCTTGTTGTTGGATGCCTAAACTTGAAATTTTGGGCGAAGTATGTATGCCAGGGTATGTTTGAATGGACATTTCGAAGAAGCTCCCTAAAAGGGTGCAGATCAACGACCTTTATGGGAGCTTTTCTTAACCGATTATGAGGGGATCTCACACTTATACTTTCATTATAGCGTTATTGGCCATAAGGTGGAGCATTCTCCATCAAAAGGCAAACAACCGTATCATACTTCAATTCGGGGGTAACAGTTAAAGACCTCTAGCTATGAGAGAGACTCTCTTCATACATAACAACTTGGAGCTCACGACACAACATCAGAAGGTAAAAGTGGCAATAAGGGAACCTTCAACTAAAGCTACAAGGAGGAAGTGCAGAGACCACACTAGAGCTAGGGGCTGACATGGGGGATGCGACCTATGGAACTTTGGTCTTAGTTTCACCGTCGTCCTTCCGTCTAGCTGCTCAATGTCCGACGGTTAGCCGCCGCCGCCATCACCAATGTCTTGTTGTCTCTTGGGACGCAACCGCCGTCGTTGCCCCTGACACCGCAACCGACATCGATAAAACTATGACCCAAGGTCCATTGGTCACATCTCCCACCTTAGTCCCTACCTCTGGTGTCATCTCTAGAGTTGGGCTTATATTGAGATGGCCATTTATCAATGCCAATTATGTTGCTCGCCATGAACCAAGGGCCTTGAAGAAACACTGAATCTCGTGCCTCTATGTAAAAATACATATGAAATAATTCAGGCTTAAGATCACAAGTTCAATGTCTCCATAACATGCCCATAAATGAGAAAGTTTTTCATGTATGAGAGAATATGGTAAGTGTCGTCTAAGAAGCTTGTCAACGAGTGCTCGGTCCAACCACTTTAAATTACTTTATATCATCTTATGATCAAGAGAAACTGAAATTCCATCAGGTGAGATTTCATTAATATCTTCAACTTGGTCGGCCTTTGCCATGCATTGGCTTCATTAGATTGCCCCTAATTCTTATTCATAGTTCTCTTTGAGGTGGCAAGATTGACTTGTCCCTTTTTGCCAAGTCGTTAGATTACTGTACCTGAAGATGTATTTTGTCGAACACCTTGTGGGCATACGTTTTTGCTGAAATTTTGCTAAAAATTATAAAAAATCAGTCCATTATTTGCAAAAGCAGTGCATGAGGGAATCTAGCACCTTGAGTTCACTATTCGGGATAATTTTGATCATGCACATCTAAATCTTGAACATCAACACCTATAGAAAGAACATAATTTTCCTGTTGTGGCTCTGAACCAACATCAAATTAATAAGCAAAACTTAAATTTTGTGCCACATTTAATGGATTTTTGGATTGAGTTGCAAAATGTGTAGCATTGTTTTTTTTTTTTTTGCTTGAGCTGCAATTTCTCTTAACAATTCCCTTTCACGAGATTTCAATGGAGACTACTTATGTGAAGGAGGCCCTTTGATTTATCTGACATTAGACTTCGCACATCAATTCCAAGTGATGTGCACCTTGATTTTGCATTTTTTTTATTTTGTTCTCCCATAGCTGCATCATTTAGATTGAAGTTTTGCTGCTTCAGTACCTTTTAATGCGCGAATCCCATATCCATCAGTTTAATTTCCATGGAATCAAAATTTTGAGATTCTAAAATAGGTGGCGGGCAAGTGGTTTTCCTGAAATTTTGCATTTGCCTTGAAGTTGAAGTTTTGGTTCTAGCAAAAATCATTGGATCATGATTTGATTCTTCCATGACAGCTTCAAGTTGCGAGAAATCTTGTTGCTCCACAATTCTATTTTTCTTGATATCCAAATTTTTCATTATGTTTTTCTTCAAAGCATGTTCCATATTTATGGATTTACCATCTAAATGAGACTTCTCATTGCTAGAAGATGATTTGTGCCATTTTAATTCTAGGTTTGGATCCCCAAGTGCCTTAAAGTTACTGCGATGCTTTGAATCTCCATATCCTTAGAGATTTCAGACATTTCATAGCCTACCAAGCCATCCAAGGAGTTCAAGCTTGTGTGCCCCAACCTTTGTTGGAACTTTTCTTGGCCTTAAAATGAATAGTGTTGGCGCAAAAAACCACCCCATTCTTTGGACTACCTCTCCCACCGTTAGAGGGAGTGGGTGATCTTTAGCCTCCCCCCACCATGTCCCGAGCCTCTCTCTAAAACACTCTAGTGAGAGAATGAAGTGGAAGAAATAAAAGAGCCTGCACGACCTCTACACAATTGTGATCTGACCCACAAACATCTCTAAAACACTCTACTTGTTAGTTTAGTCCGTAGAATCTTTTAATATGGGCTGAAATAATCCTCGCATAGAATTATTTGAGCTCCAATTTGAAGTGTCTGGAGACTAATTTAACACTTTTATAAACTTTTTGACTAAAATGACCTCTTGGGAGTATTTTGACCCTTCAAGATTTAACCTGCTGGGATAAGTTTTTTGTAGTGTTTTTACATTTTTTTTCACAGAACATCTTGTGATATCTGGATTCTGCACACAAGCCTTTCATGAAATGAAAATTTTGCCTGAGAGATATATCTTCCCGGGTTTATTCAATTTTCTCTTCCATTTTTGTACTTAATACTTCAGTAATATCTATAAATCTAGTAATCATTTGCATTTGCTAGCGATCTTTAATGTATTGAATTAATAGAACATAATGACGTATGGAATGTAGCAGAACAGTAGAAAAATAGAGATTTAATAGAAAAAAAACTGAGAAGTGGGAGGGGGAAGCGAGATACGCAATGAATTATCAGGCTGTTGATGGGTTGTAGGAGACTTTAATTAATATTTTGTAACATCGAATTACATGGAATATGGGGACTTTAATAAAATAAAATGGTGTAAAAACTATAATTGTGAACAACTACTATGGCTTATTATAGGATAATCATCCCGAAAATAAGCATAAATATAAAAAACTTGCGAAATCATAATAAATTTAAAACATAAATGCTTAAATTAAATTCTATTTATTTTGACAGTCATCAATTGAATGACAAACGACATACCGCTACAATTCTCCATGTTGGAAATAACTTTTCTCCAGAGAATAAAATTCATAGAATCTCTTCCTAAAGTCAAAGGATGAAAGGATCAAAAACATTTTCTATTAGCAGAATCTCAAAGTTTCTTCCACATATTGTCATAATAATTGTGGCTTTTTCAGATTCGACTAGTAAAAATGTCACTTGTACAAAAAAAAAAAGGAAGAAAAATCATGTAATTACATGTAAATTGCTAGTGGTTCACGCACAAAAAAAAAAGAGTTTTACTATTTTCTTAGAAGTTTACATGTAAATTACCTGGTAGCTGGTTATTCTTCATGGTATTATTTACTAGAATAGTAACATGCTAAGGATTGGCTAATAATTACTTTGGTTTGAATTAGAGTGATATGAAATTCGTGTATCAGTGTATGCATGTTTTGAGGATAGCAGAAGTTCAAATCTGTCCGGATCATGATGGATTTTAATTGGATCAGGCAGGCAATTTAGTGGAGAGGTTTTAGGAAATGATTTAGGATTTAATTAAATTTGAAATTTAAATTTATATTTCAGATATGAATTTGATAGTTGAATTTAGCATATGTTTTTGGATTTTTTGTGAAAATTTGGTAAAATAATTTAGGAAGCTAATTTAGCTTGAGTTTTTTTTTTTTTTTAAATCATTATTTTTAAATGGTAGGGTTGTTCTTTGGGTTGCTGTATGAGTGTTTGATTGTGGGTCTTAGAGACTGAAGGAAGATTTCAGAACTAGCTGCTCTGTTAAGTGTAGTAATTCAGAAGTAGCTGTAATGTGGCTAATTATGTATGATAGGTAGTGCTGAAACAAGTAAAATTATGAAAACAGAACAACAAGCATGAAATAAGAAAATTGCAGCGAAGACAAAAGCAGAAGTTCAAAAAATTGAGAAATCAACCGCGAAAACAGCAGGATAGTGGAAAAAAAGTAAGAGTGCTCAACAAAAGTATAAAATATAAAAAAAGTTTTAAGCTGATATCGAACAGACACAGCATAAACAATGGAGTAATGATCAAATTGGAAATTAGGAGACAACATAGAGGAAAGGGAGGGGAAAAGAAATTGCATATGAAACCCTCAAAATATTAGTTTGTTGGATTCTTGGGGGAAGTGAACTAGAAAGTCAAAAGCAAGGGCTGAATGAAATTTTATTAAAGCTTTATAACATGGTGGTTTTGAGGAATAGGAGGCTATCTATAAAATTGCCTGAAAACTAAAAGTCTAAACTATTCTGTTGACTTATTATTGTGATAACTATGGTGACAATCTAATATAAAATAAAAAATTATTAAATTTTTAATAAATTGAAAATGCAAGCTTTCACATAATAAAAGTATTGATATGAATTGAATCAACTTGAAATGCATCATAAAATGATTTTTTTCATTAGCTTAGATGACATCTTTAATTTTTTACTGTAATAACTATTGTGGTTAGTTCATTTGACCTCAATTTCTTAAGTACCTGACTTCACAAGGTGGTTAGTAGTTTGCACCAAAACATTGGTACCAACTAGAAGCTCCATAAAGTCTATAGTATTTCCATGCGCTGAACTTTGATATGAAAATATGCATTAAATTCTATCAAGCAATTTACTGAAACTGTTTAGGTTTGATGATGTAAGCACTTTTTTAACCTATAAATTGATTAGAGTAGCTGTGGAGGGGGTGCTTTCTGCTGTGCCTAAAAGTTCATTTGGTGATGTAGCAGCTTTTTGAAACACAATTTTGTTAAAGGAATCCTTAGCTTTTTATTGAAGAAACAGCGCAGTTAGAAACCTAGCCATGTGCTTTTAATACTTTATTCTTATATAATGATCAATCAGTTATTTTTAATTGTATCTATTTGGAAAAAAATATGGTTTCTGTGCTTATAATGACTTGAAAATATCTAGGTTGAGAAACTGAGAAGGCTTCCTCATACAAAACCGTTGGAGGTAACATTTACTGGCATGATCTTAGCTTCACTTGATGGCGGATACGTGAATGACTGCATCTCAATTTATGAGTTCATGAAAGATTACTGTACCCCTAATATTGGAACCATAAATGCAATGCTGAAAGTCTATGGCCGCAGTGATATGTTTGCAAAAGCAAAACACTTATTTGAATCTATTAAAAAAATATATTTGCATTCTGAAGCATCAGCTGAAGCACTCGAGCCCGATGCTTTTACATTTTCCACCATGTTGGAGGCATGTGCTTCAGCTTGTCAATGGGAGTTCTTTGAGTATGTCTACAAAGAGATGGCTCTCTATGGTTACAGCTTAGAGATAAGTAAACATTCGTGGTTGCTTGTAGAAGCTTCTAAAGCTGGGAAGGTAAATGAATAGCAATTGGCCATGTGTTTTTGTTGATTTATATTATAAGCATACATGGATTTGCGGCATTTGCCTTGGATGCTAGTTAAGTTTTTCTTTTTTCGGTTTTTACATTCATACCATCCATTTTTTTTTGTATTTACATATCAAACAGCTAAACTTTTATTTTTACATTTCTACCACCCAAATCTTTCATATCACATTATAAATACCACCATTTTAAATTTTAAAAAGTTAAATACATGTTTTCATGCATAGCAGCGTATGTAAGGTATGTATTTAAAAATTGAAGTTTAGGTGTTAGATATGTAAATGCATAAGAAATCTTCCTTTTTCCCCATATGCATGTATAAACTACTGAATAGAGCAATATAGTTTAGTTATGTTTTACTCTTCAAGGTTCAAATAGCATGTTGCTACTGAAAAACCCTAGGGAAGACATTAAAATGCGACACGAAATGACCTAAATACCTTGACAGCATACTCTCAGAAGTCACAATTGCATTGTTATTTTACTGAAATATGAAGATAACAATGAAAAACAGGGAGTCACAAAATTAATGAAATATTGTTTCCAAACATATAGTTCAAGGTATGTGTCTAATATGAACGGCCTAGCATGAAGGGATGAACATTTGTTCGCTGAGTATAACTTTAAATAAAATTGACATGAAGAGCAAACAAAAAGTTCTATGGAGGGATTCGGGTTAGTACCTGTCGTACTATTGAAATTTCTTCCACAAGACTTAAATCAAATTAAGTTCTTAAATAAAAATAGATCCACGAACTTTGAAATTAGTTTTTTTTCTCAAGTTTGAAACCATCTAATTAGTTTTACTGAAATCAGATTAAAGAGAAATCACAAAAAAATAAGATTTATTGATTAAAGAAAGGTTCTGTTAAGAATCTCCAGCAAGTGCTCATGGAACTCAGATCCACGATGCAAGTATACAACAAGCCTCAAGCTTCCTATGAGCATCCTCCATAATTTCATGAGTTGTACAAGATCATCCAGAAGTTAGTATTTACCTACCATAAGATAGCCTTAAATTGTGTAGGATAATATAGGAAATAATGCTTAAATACTCTAATCTAAGAGCATTTATAAAGTAAATAAGGAACTCTGTAGGAGTTGTTATCCATCTAAAGTTGTTTGTATAGCTAGGTTGACTGGATGAGTCAAACAATATTTTTCTTCTATTTTTACATTTTCAGCTCATATTTGTGCTGCTCTTGTTGCTGTGATTCTCTCATATGATTTAGAATCTATATAGTTGTATCATTGCTTTGTTTTCTTCCGCATTTATATGGACATTAAATGTGGCATACTTCTATTATGAGTAAAGTGTCAAAATAGTCCCCTGACTATTTAAATGGGGTCATTTTAGTTACAGAGTTTATAAAATTATCAATTTAGTCCCAGGCTCTTTTAATATTGGCTGAAATAAACCCCAAAAAGGACTATTTTTAGCCTTAATTAAAAGAGCAGGGGGACTAAATTGACACTTTTATAGACTTTGAGACTAAAATAACTCCCCACAAAGAGTCAGGGGACCATTTTAGCTTTTTCTCCTATTACTGTAGGACAGTTTCTTAATTTCTATGATCATTTATTTGCAGTGGCATTTACTAGAACACGCCTTCAATACATGCTTAGAATCAGGAGAGATACCTCATATATCGCTCTTCACCGAAATGCTATGTCAAACAATTATTCAGCAAAAATTTGACAGAATCAACCCTCTCCTCAATGGCATGGCTCATGCTTCTCTGCAATTTAGTGAAAGCCAGTGGTTAAGTTTCTTACAGAGAAATAATGATAGGTTTGGTTTGGACGCACTGAAGCATCTGCTGACCCATCTTCATAGCAGTAATCTTGTGATGGAACAACCAATACCTGATTTGTTGAGATCACTCGAGTCTCTCTGTGGAGGAGGAACTCCTACAAGAACTGCTATCCTTGCTTCATCGAAGGATATTTCAACAGATTATTTGACCTTTCAAGAAAAAAAAAAAAAAGAGGTTGTTAAAATTATTGTTTTTTTTTCTGCCAAACAGAAAATTTTAAAAACAATCTCCCGACTCTTTTCAATTTTCCATTTCAATCCCATAGTCTATAAAAGTTCAATTTAAACCTCATATTTCTTTAATGGGTGCTAAAATAATCCTTTTTTGACAATTATTTCAGCCTATATTGAAAGAGTATGGAGACTGATATACACTTTTATAGACTCTGGAACTAAAATTCCTCAATATAAGATATTCATGTTCATGTTCATTTGTAGGAGATGGTTCGATCAGAGGCATCCGTCTTGAGACTTCGTATTGAAGAGAGAGAATGTGATTCTCTTTTAGATATGAGGTCAGAAATACTTGTTAATGATTCCATTCCTGATCAGCTAACCGACGATATTTGTACTTCATCCTCAAGGGTGCCGTTGGCAGCCGATATATTACAGTCATGGAAGGATGACAGATGTAAAAATGGTATTTTCCTCCTTTGACAGAAAAAAAGTGTGAAAAAAAAGAAAATTGTTTTGTTTGGTTGAGGATGACCACCTTCTTTAGAATGTAACTTTAGATATTAGTGACTAATATATATATATTTTTGTGAACTTTGTTCCTATTTTAATTTGTTCAATCTGTTAGCACATGCAACAACTATTATAATGTATATAAAATTGGCATTTACATTAGTAGAGCTTTGGTTTTCATGACAAATGTTGCTAAAAAAATTGTGTATAAAATTGGCATTTACATTAAATCATGTAATTTTATAAAATGAATTGAAGCCATTATTCTGCTTCAGCAATAGTTCTTTTTAACTGTATTCTGGGATGAGGGGATAAGAGGCGTTACTTGGCATCGTTTAAACTTTGATTAATAGTTGTTCTTTAAATTATATGATTATCCTATTGTTTAATTCATCAACCATTTTCTCCCATATGAAGAACCTTCCAGATCCTTGGTTTCGGTCAGCAACTGTGCTTTGGGAGTTTGAAGCAGCTAGTACTGGCAGATCAAGGTAATTTTTACCTTCTTTACAGATTTTATTTTTCTGTGCATCCATGCGCATTTTCATTCTGTTGAAATCAAGATTATTGTTCATTTTGTTGAAATAATTTTTTTCTGCACAAAATATTTACTTTTTTCTGCAGACGTAAGATACTTTTGCAGATCACTATAGACGAGTCCAGATAGAAGGAAAGCCAAGGAGCATGAATGACATTCTAGCTTTTGGTGGATTGATTGAAGCTGTTTTGTTGGCAAGTACAAGGTACTTTTGCTGATCACTAAGTGCTATTTCATATCGAAGTATAGAGAAGGAAATTAAATGAATTTCTAGTATTTAGTGGATTTGCATCGCGCTTGCCAATATTAATTTAAGATTTCAACATTTTGTTCCGTTTACTTGTGTAACTTTCTTGAATTTTAAGTAGCATTTGTAGTTTTATTCTGTTGGGGAGTGTGGATCAAATTGGGATCAAACCTGGGCTTGATGCACTTGTGGTTATTCCATTTTTAACTGAAACAAAAAAGTTCATAATCGAAATTCAATCACTTGATATTTGTATACTAACATATTTTCTAATTATACAGTGTGCTATAAAATATTGTTGCTCGGCTTTTCTATGAGAGTTATGGAGTTCCAAATTAAATTTTTAGAAGATAGGTTATATTTTAGTTAATACACTACTTGAAGATTTTATACTCATTTTATGAGAATTTTAACATATGATTTATGGTTTTTTGTTGGTGCAAGACTATGTTTAATTATTCTTTCTGGTTACTAGGGAGAACTTTTAAGATTAAGGATAGTTGTTAGACACCAAGTGATTGGCCTATACTACTAATAATTTGGTTTAATACTGTGTTGAAAATATTTCACATTTAACTTAGAGCGCATGGTAGGAAGATAATGACGAATCCAATCAAGTTTTCATGATTATATATCCAAGATTATCATGGACCTTGATTTATTTAGTCAGTGAAGCTAGTTGTTGACTGAATGATTTTTATCAGCACGGGTTATTTTCTAAATGCATCTTGTTGGGGTGAATGCTTGCATAAGATGATAGTTTTAAATTGAATTTAGCTAATAAAGAACTTTGTGTTTTCTAAAATGAACTCCATAATTCACCACTTAAAAAGGATTTGGGCTATTGGGAAACTTTTGGGCTTTGGCTATGATCCTGTTTTAATAGCAACCGTACCTTTGTGGTGTCATTTAGTGTTAAAATCACCCAATTGCAGGGCGTGTATTGTCTTTACCAGTGTGAGATTTCTTAGAGTAATTATAAAGGAATGCTTAATATGACATTTTGGTTTGTCCTCCACTAGATTTCAATTATCCATTTTTGCTTTAATTTGATTTAAAGTTATTCTTCTGTGCAATTATCAAAGTAGATTGCTCTTGAACTTTGAGGGGTCAATTTTTGATTTTATGATCATTATAATAACAATTATAGTATTTGCCAATATTAAATTGCATGTTCTTAGACGAAATTTTCAAGGACTAGGATTATTTTTTGAATTTTGTGCTTGATGATTTTTATAGTGTTGAAATTCTGCTACAATAATAATAAAAAAACGGTAAGGCGCACAGATCAAGGCTTTGCAATGTTGGATCTGTTTCTCTATAATCCTTAAATTGCAATTTGTGTGCATTCCTATAGGATCACTGGATCAAGGCTTTGTATCGTTGTTTTTGTTTCTATATCCATTGTATTGCAATCCATTTACTTTCCAATAGGATTGTCAACTCATAGTTATTTTTCCCTCCTTTTTTATTTATTTCTATTTTGTAATGTCTCTTAAAGATGTATATATATAACATCTCCTATTATACAAAGAATAAAATTAGGTTTATGAAATTTTTTCTAATGTTTCTTATACAAAGAATAAAATTAGATTAGGATTTTTTTTCCATAGTTTATTTTCAATATGATATCACAGTAAGTTTAGGGTATTCTTTCCAACTTTTATTTATATTTACTAACATTAGGGTTTTTAGTTTTAACTTTATTTTTTTTGTTGAATTCTCTATTTACTCATTATATCTGGATTGTTAGACTTTTTGTTAAAGGAGTTGGCCATGATTAATGGTGAAAATCAGATCAAATCAGAACTTAAGGTATTTTATTATTTGAATGAAAAAAAAAAATCTTAAGTTGTCTCAAATGGTGAAGACATTTCTGAAGGAAATTGGAATGATCCAAAACATTGTGGATTTCCTCTGGAGCCCATTTACTTTGAGAAAAAAATTGATTGTGTGGAACACCATGCTGTTCGAGATTTGTGGACATTTTATGTTCATCTTCATCGCAAGAGGTTTGGGATGCAGGTACATAAACCTAATCAAAGTTGAAAGTTATTGCACTCATCTATGAAATTAAAGATAAAGCTCACCACTACCAAAAAGGTAACCTTCATGTTGTTGAATACTCTTAACATCATGAAGGTTTGTTGGTTAGATTGCTATATAAATCTCAATGTTATGTTGTTATGATGTGGCGATCTTTAAAAAAAATTGTGCTGTGAGAGAATTTTCTGGATCAATGGTTTGGCCCTCTCAGAATGAAGTATTCTTTCTCGTTCGGGATGAAGAAGAAAGAAGGATGGCGTATAATGATAACTTCTGAATCCTAAAGTAAGATATTTTTTGTCATAGAATCTTTCTCAAAAGGAGAAAAATCTTCTTTTAAAGGCCATCTCTGGTTTAGTTATTACAACAAAAAAAGGTACATCAAAGAGAAATGTTCAAAACTTTATATAAAGTTCCAAGGCTATGAATGAAGTAAAAAACTGGAACAAAAAACTTAATTAAAAAGAAATTGACCATTTAAAGAATTTTCTTAGTTCTTTAGAAAATCCATCAAGATTTTGTGTTTATATAGAATGTTATGATTTCTAATTTTTATACTCTTAATGTTACTAATAGTTATTATTCTTCTTAACTTTTTAGATTCAGGGTCACTCACAACACGACAAACCTGCTAATATGATTTAGTTTTACTAACCTTATCCCATCAATAGCAAAACAAAAGTTGCAGATGGATCTTTAACAACTATTGCAGGATAGGAAGACATTAATTTCACCCAACTTAATTCTCAGTAGTGGATTATACGTCCCACATTGTAATTTACTTTATATCTGTCCACAAATTTATCAAAGACCATAATTGCAAAGTCAACTTTTTACGACAATAGGCAAGCTCGAGAAAAAGATGGCTTATACCTTCTTAAAGATCAAATCAACTATCATACTTCATCTCTCAAATCATCGTCGTCATCTTGACACACCATTATGGATCAGAACATTATTTTCTAAAGATCTTTAGTGTATGTTTAACTCTTTTGTATTGATTCATTTTGATGGACATGGATCATCTAAATCTTTAAATGAAATCATGTTAATTAATCATCTCAAAAGTTAATTTGTAAAATTCAAGGTTCATTAATGAAGGCTTGGTTGTACACATTAGCCCAAAAATGTCACTTTCATATTCCACTGATAACCTTCCAAACATATTCAATATTTAAGAATGGAACTTTTTAGGGATAGACCTTGTGCCAGCACATTAGTGATTAGAAAATAAAATGAATATTAATTTCTACTTAGCTTGAACTTAGCATTCTGATCCCTTTGTAGCATTTTGATCCCTTTTTAGGGAAGATTTACATAATAGCCCACTTAATTTCTATTAATTTACATGTATGTAAATGCATTGAAATCGGATGGTATGCATCGGTTCTGTAATTCAAAGAACCATGTTAATGTAACTTTTTATTTTAATTTTTTTATCTGTTTTTTTTTTTATTATACGGAATGGTAAATTTATAAAAAAACAATGTTTTGAGGGTTGTATATGTAATTATCTCAAAACATAATTGTTGTTTGGTAGGGATGTGAATTTAATGGTGATTTGAATTTTGGCTCGGATTGATATTGGATAGAAGTAAACGAGCCGAGCTACGAGCAGAAATTTTGGATCAAATTTTTTTTTCAAGCGGACAATTAGCTCGGAATCAGATTGTTAAAGTGATGTTTGGGCTGTGACTTTAGCGAAATTAACTCGAAGCCCCCGTTAACTGCTATAAAATTGATTCAAACTTTTGTTCGAATTGAGTTCAGACCGAAATAAGTGAGTCGATTTTGAGCCGATAATTGAATTGTTAACACCCTAACAACTCTTTAGTTGATTTTTATTCTGGTCAACCAAAAGGAAAGGGTTTTAGATGTAATTTCTCCAGTTAACATTTATTTTTAATTATTTTTATTTTGAATTAAGTCAAGATCATTTGATTCTTGGAATTAATTTCATCTATTTTAAAAATAATTTAGACTTAAAATTAAAAAAAAAGATTAGTTAGTTAATTCTATTTTAAGTTAAGACAAACTCGTTATTTTTTAGTTTGAATTTTGTTGTACTTGGAGAAAATATTCGCCTCCAGACTGCCAACAACCGACCGCCATTTCGTCATACACCTCATCGGGGGACTACTTGGCAGTCGGTAGTCGGCTATCCGAATGTGCGGACATCCAAAACATAATATATATATATATATATATATATATTCTATAAATTGAGCCAAACTTGGGGATAAATTGAGTCAAACTAGGGACCACAATTATTATTAAAAGCATCCAATGCCTATCCAAAAGCTTCATTAAATTTTGTTTTTATCCGACTATTTTTTAATGCAATTTTGAAATTATCTACTAATATAAAATTAGTGTCAACATGCAAAAACAATTCTCAAATATTTATGTGGTAATTTTAATCCCAAAATTTCTAAAAATATCAAACAAATCTCGAGACTCTTTACATTATGATTAAAAATGTTCCAATGGAGGACTATTTGAGCTCAATTTTATAATAATTGACGATTATTTTGATATTTCTATAAATTCTAAGGTTAAAATGAGCACTAAGGGCCCGTTTGAGACAGCTTATAAGTGCGGGGGCATTTTTGAAAACTTCGCAGTACCGTTTGGATCGCGCGTTTTGCCTGCTTATCTGAAAACATAATTCTATTTTTATACTAAATGCTGACCACGGGTTGAACCCCACAGTCGACAAACGGGCCGCGCTTCAGGATAAGCAGTTTATCCTGAAACGCATAAGCTGCCCCAAATGCATTCTAAGAGTCACTTTCAAAAAAAATGGGATATTTATGCACATGCCATCAAATTTTTATTTATTTAGATATGCAACGCGTGAAATTTACACTATTAAGATGAAAATTAAAGTATTTTAATATAACTTGATAAACAATTAAAAAGTCGTGTGTGTGTGTATGTACATATTTAATTATAATATAATAGTAGATTTTTTTTTAAATTTTTTTAAAAATTTCTTGTTATTTTTTATTAGGTTTAATTTAAGGTGAGTATAATATCATATTATTTGATTAATTATTTATTTTCTTTACCTCAAAATAAATTTAATATATAAAAAAAATTTTAACATAAATTTTTAGTAGGCTTATATATATATATATATATTTATATATCAAACATCTAAATTTTAATTTTTATATTACATGGAAATATTATTTATTGTTAATATTTTAAAAAATAAAAAATAAAAATTCCAATATAAATAAATTAATTTAAATGTAAAAAATTAATCTTTTATATATTAGAAATGTAAAGTAATAGGAATAGCGTGATATGTGTGCAATTTTTTTTTTACAGATCGATACATTTCCATATTTATATTCTTAGCCATCGTGTGCGTGGGACAATGGTCAAAGCGGAGCTGGGGCGGGAGAGCTCTCCGTTCCGATCATCGTCTAGGGAAACAAAGAGGGCGGCGAAACCCTGATCTCTTCAGTCTTCGCGAACCCTAAACAGATCTCTCTTTCTAACCTCCCCAATTTCAAACCCTACTTGCATTCAGCACGTCCGTTCTTGTTTTCCGCCATGGGATTGTGGGAATCTTTCCTCAACTGGCTGCGGAGGTGAGGAAATTCATCCATAGTGCCATTTCTTGCTGCATTTGAGAGGTTTTTGTTTCAGTTTATTAAGCATTGGTTCTTGAACCATTCTTGTTGATTGATTTTGGGCGCTTAAAGGGTAGCTGTTGGTATTGAAAGCAGGAGGTATTAGGGTTTTGTTTGGATTCCTTTTTAATGCGGTATGGAGTGGATCTTATTGTCACCGAGCTTTGGTTAACTGGTATTGATCCAGTGAAGAGCTAGTGGAAAAAGAAATAATTTTGGAATGTCTGAAAACACAAGTTTTTCTCCCGTTTTGATCTGTTCTGTGCTACTTGGAAATATTTTCTTAATGTTTTTTAACAGATGTCTAATAAATTTTTTGTTGGAGTGAAGAATTTGTCTCTATGCACTTATGTTGGGGATTCTGTAAATTTGCAGCCTGTTCTTCAAGCAAGAAATGGAGCTGTCGTTGATAGGTCTCCAAAATGCAGGGAAAACATCACTTGTTAATGTTATTGCGGTTCGTATCTATTGATTTTTAAGGATTTTACTCAAAGAACTATACTTAATCTTTGATAATGTTTATATTGAACTTATTCATGTGTCATGTGCAGACTGGAGGATACAGTGAAGACATGATTCCTACTGTGAGTTGATTTTTCATCTGGATTTCAGGATGGAAAATTCTTCTTCGTGTTTCGTTTGATCATTAGCTTCTCTTATAATGAGGATAAATCTGTCAACTTTTTGATATTTTAGGTAGGGTTCAATATGAGGAAGGTTACTAAGGGAAATGTTACCATAAAGTTGTGGGATCTTGGTGGTCAGCCAAGGTTTCGAAGCATGTGGGAGCGATATTGTCGTGCGGTCTCTGCCATTGTGTATGTTACTTATCCTTTGTTATTTTGTTCTACCATTATTACCGTTTGAGCTTTTAATTTATTAGCAATTGCACCATATCATTTAATGATTTGCTTGCTGATGGAAATTAAGCACCATTGATCACTAAGTTGTATTTGCCACATTTTGCCAAGTGATGAAGCATTGTATAAGGTCTTGATTATCAAAATGTTATTTTTTTTTTTATTGGAGATTAGACAACCAAATTTGCAACAAAATGAGCGCGTTGGGGCTCATTTGTGTTGAAATTTAGATCTCGGGAATCTTGTGATTGCCTTATTTGTTATATACGTCATATCGGGAATATCAACCAGCTTAGGAATTCATCAATACTCTTATTTTTTGACCAATGCTTATATGATGAAAGCTACTCACACTTTGAACCAAATGATCAAGGATGTTTCTTTCTTGTGATCATCGCCACAACCTTTTGATTCTAAGGTTTATGGATCAATTGTGTACTTGAGGTGCATGTGAAGTAATCTCTATGTGAGATTCTTCTCCTTTGTTTGTGTAGATATGTTGGGAATTAGGAAAGGGTCAGTGAATGTTTTTTGTATTGTATACCATAATTGTGGCCTTTTTTTCACTGGATCAAATTCCATCCTTTATCCCAATCAATGTAGGGTTGAGTGAAACCGAAGCACAACCTTGGCATAACTTTGTCATATTTTGTCATTATTTATCATCTTCTACTTTTATGGCGCATGATTCATGGTGATGCCTCCAGTCTTGGAGCTCTCATTATAACAAATAATGTTAGAGCACAGTTATGAGATCGATGGTCATAAGTTTGAGGTTCGAATTTCACGTTTTGAAGAACCAATATTCTTTTATTGATCCAATCATGTTGTTGTTCGTGTTGGAGCATCATGTCTAAGGGGAATACAAATGGATTTGTTTCTTATTGCGGAATAGTTTTGGGGACAAAATTAAGCACGAGATGTTGGGAAGCGGGTATATGCTCAAGCTCAATTGCATCACTTATGTCAGCATGATTGTGTTGCTCTAAGCTCATCATAACTTGGGAGAGCTTTGATTGCTCATTATGGAAATGAGTCGTATCTTCTACATTTTATTGCATTCATGGAAAAATTATATACGAGATATTGATTCATTAAATATTTTTGTTTGGATTGACGAAGATTGGACTATTTGAATCACAACAATATTAATGCATTGGCACATATAGATATATAGAATTATAAATTTGTCTCCTTTGGCATGTAGATCTTCTTGTGAATACAACTAGTCTTCATATTTTTGTGTGAATTCCTCTTGGATGTGCTATTTAGATTTTATTTGGTGATATAATGCTTTAAAAAGTGAAATGCACCTTGCCATGCAATGTAAGGTTGTATATATATATATATAATATATATACATAAAAATTGAATTTTAGTTGTTAGACATGTAAATGCATAGGAATTCAGTGGCATATATGTAAATATTCCAAGTTTAATTTGTTCATTATTTCATGCAGGTACGTTGTTGATGCAGCTGATCATGAGAACTTATCAATCTCAAGAGGCGAACTCCATGACCTATTGAGCAAGCCCTCACTAACTGGTATTCCTTTGCTATTACTTGGGAATAAAATTGACAAGCATGAAGCGCTCCCTAAGGAAGCCTTAACTGAGAACATGTAAGCTTCTACTTGTTTTCATTCAAGGAAGATTTACATACACACCACTCAATTCCCATGCATTTACATTTAACACCCAAACTTTTTAAAAGTTAAAATGATGGTATTTTTTATGTGAGGTGAAAGATTTGGGCATCATAAATGTAAAAAAAGCAAAGTATAGATGTTAGTATGCATACACAAAGGAATGATGCAAAAATGTATCAGAACTCCAATCATTACATGTCACATGTACAGTCCGGATCCTAAGGGAGCTGGACTGTATACATGGCAGACAATAATTTGCATCAGGACCCTTATGTAATATTTTTTCATAAATATGCTCCTTCTTTCAATCCTTTCTATCTCCAACCTTTTATCATAGGGGGCTGAAGTCCATCACCGACCGCGAAGTTGGCTGCTTCATGATCTCATGCAAAAATGCGACGAATATCGATGTCGTTATTGACTGGCTTGTCAAGCACTCTAAGACCAAGAATTGAGTATTTGGTCTCTGTAGTAATCTTCTAAACTTTGAGGTTTTGGCTAACTGGGATTGGGCCTTCTGACTTCTTCTGAGGCTGATCTGGGTTTTCTGATTGTTTATAAAAGCTCAATATCTATGGGCTGTAAAGAGTTGGTGTTTTGTGTAATTTTAACTTAATTGTTGTGAACAATTGTTCTATTTGTGTTAAACGAATGCTATGAAATAAATGGCTCTTTGTATGGTGTTTCTTTTCATCTCATTATGTGACTTTTAGAGCTTTGTTCTTGCATTAAATTTTTGTTAATTACAGTCGCATTTGTTGCGCATTTAACTTATCAAATCTTATTATTGATTAAATTCATTTGTATTTATGTAATGCAAAAGTAATTGTTAGGTATGCAATAATATGGTCTGTTGATTGATGAATAACATTTAACCATGCCAAAATATAATAATTAGGGCATTTACATGCATATCACTAACTTTCATGTTATACTTTTAAAAAATGTCATAATTAATAATTTTTTTAAAAGTGAATTATACTTTTTAATGACAGCAAAAGGTTATAAATGTAAATGTCAAGTTTTAGGATCGTTATGCACGCGCGCTTACACACACACGTACACACACATGCACGAAAAGTTTGCTATTTACAAAATTAACAATCATATTATTTTATTGAACAATCAGTTATGTGTGTCATCATCAAACCATTGAGAATTTGTTAACAATGAATAACATGGGTCAGAGCTTTATCAAGAATTTTAATATTTTAGCGAGAATTTGAAAAGCTTATGAAAGAGGGTGTTAGTTTTCTAAATAGTAAAATTTCTCGAGTAATTTTGAGAAGTTGATTTCTCAATAGTTTGAAGATCTAAATCTTTTCAATGGTGCACCAACAAAAACAAACATATCGCTCCATTTCTATGCAAAACTTGAACAGATAACTTAGAATTACTAAGTTAATTTACAAAAACATCTTCAAAGATGAAAATAAACATCCGAAAATAAAAATAAAAATAAAAATAAAAATCGCAACGTGATATCCTCGCCAAAATTTGATCATGATGACTCGAAACAATCTAACGTTTAAATATATACAGAAGCAGGAGCAGAATCATGTCATGTCTAGGATGGGCAATTGCTCACATTTTATAATTTCTCTATACAAATAGTAAAATTTAATACCTTTTTCTTATGTAATTTAGAGAATTTGATAATATTACCCACCCTAAATAATAATGCCGGTTCCACCCCATGACATACAAAACAAAATTAATCAATGAAAACTTAAATCACTCAGCCATTCCTGTTGTAACCCCCACCCACCCACCAATAAAGCTCATAGACCAACTCTTCTAAAGATTGTTCAGATAACATATACTAACAGGATTGAAATCCATAAGAAGATTTTTCTTACCAGGCCCCTCTGATAAACATAGATGGCAAAGTATTCACCAGCTTGAAAAATTATTATATTCTACAGTTGATGCTGCTACCTTTCTCTTCTTCATGGAGGAATCAAGACCTGTATTGTTGTTGCCTTCTGCGGCGTCGGATCTGGTGTTCCTCGATTTAAGATACTTTCCCACACCACCAGTTGAAGTTTCATTCCCAGTTGCAGCTGTAGCTGGATTGCTGAACCATGAACCCACTTTATGCTGAAAATAAGGATTAGAAAGACTAGAATGTTAGAACTTGCATCCATCACCACATAAGAATTGAATGCCAAATAAATTTCGAATATAACCTTGTCGTCATCATCTTCGATGGCTGGAGCAGCCTCCTTTTCTCCTTTCTCTTCATCCTCATCCGGCTCAGTGTAGGGATTTACAAAAATTTTTACATTTATGATCTTTATCTCTTCCTGCATAACCAGAAGGAGCTTGATAAAATTATAGGCGCAGGAGAAACGAGTATGAAAGGAAATGCAAGATCTTGTCAACCAATACAGTTTTCAATTTTTTGAATAATTATTTTCTGTAAGGAACAAAATTACTAAACTAAGAAAAAATGAAACTCATGTCGGTTGAGGAAACATCTCCCAAAATTATGTAATTACACTTGCACTACACTCGAATGAACTATACATTTAACTAGCACTTACAAGGTTGAAACTGAAAAAAAAAATATGTGAAGGGTAAAAAATAAAGGGGTTAAATCTCAAAATGGTCCCCAAACTACTCGGATGTCATGAATTTAATCATATTGTTTTGCAGCGCTCCAATCTAGTCCCCCAGATTGCTGAAAATTGATCCCAATTGATTCCTCAGGGGCGAAACAAAGATCAGATTTGTATAGTAGGGGGATTAAATTGATATCATTTGTGCCATGATTTCTAGACAAGGGACCCATTAGAATACATTTTAAATAGTTGGGGGACTAAATTGGAGTGTAAAACTCTAGGAATAAATTTGTCATTTTAGGATTTAATCCCAAAATCAATCAATTACCGACTCAAAACACCTATTTTTAAACTCCACATAAACCAGGCTAATAGGTAACATTAATGCAGGATCAATACCAATTGAAGTTTAGATTAATTGCATCAAAAATAAATAATTCAAATTTAATTTAAAATCCCCAACTTAGCTTAGAAGAATGTCCGACAGCAACGGAGGAAATACCGCAAGAAATTACAAAAAAAGTGGAGCTACAAAAATCACCGCAGTACCCTACTACACTACCCTGTAGCTAAAGTAACCGCAAATCTCTAACCAAAACACAGCCTCTCTTTTATTTTTCAATTTATTTAATGAATATTTTAAAAAACAACGCCACAACAAGTCAACTATCTGCAGAAAAATCGAAGCAACCATGTCAAATAGCTCAAAAAATTTTAAAGTTTCTATGAGAACAAAATGCAATTATATAAAAGTAGACAATGTTTTCTGAACTAGTTAAACCAAATAGGTCGACTAGAAAAGCATATTTAGAAACAAAAACAACAACAAGCCTTTATCCCACTAAGTGAGTCGGCTACATGAATCATTTTCCTCCATTGCATCTTACTAAGTGTGCTGTTTTCATTTAATTCTAATAAATTAAGATCATTTTTTTTTTATAAACAATGCCCAATTTTTTCTAGGTCTACCTCTGGCTTTCTTAACGTAAGTCAAATCAAAAACATCTACTCTCCTAACTGGATCATCAGGTGGTCGGAGTTTAATCTGACCAAACCATATAAGACGACTCTCTCTAATTTTGTCCGCCATTGGAGCTACACTAACCCTATCACGGATATATTCATTTCGCATTTTTTCTCTTAAGTCTAAAGCCACTCATCCACCTAAGCATTCTCAACTCCGCAACACTTAACTTAGTTTTATGCTTCTATTTTAAAGGCCAACATTTTGCGTCAAAGATCATTTAAGGTCTCACCACCATCTTATAAAATTTTCCTTTCAACCTAAGCGGTACTTTTCTATCACACAAAAGGCCCGAAGTAGTTCTCCACTTCAACCAACCAACTTGAATTATACTAAGAACATCCCCATCTATATCACCATCACTTTGAACAATAGACCCAGGATATCTAAAGCATTCACACCTTTTAATAATTTGAACACCTATAGTTACAACTCTGTCACTAGAACTACTACTACTAAAATTACATTCCATGTATTTAGTTTTAGCTCTACTCAAACCAAAACCTTTAGATTACAAAGTAGACCTCCATATTCAAGTTTTTCCTTAGCTCTTTCTCTAGTCTTATCCACAAGAAGTATATCATCAGCGAAAAACATGCACCAAGGTACATCCACCAGTTAATGTCCAATACAAAAATCTATAACTAAAGCAAAAATATACGGGTTTAAAGCCGATCCTTGATGTAATCCGACCGAAATAGAAAAATAATCGACCAATTCTCCTTCTGTTCAAACACAAATAACAACTCTAGCACATATCTTTAATGACTTTAATATAAGTCATATCAACACCTTTCTTCTCCAGAACTCTCCAAAGGGCATATCTTGGAGCCTTATCGTAAGTTTTTTCTAAATCAATAAAAATCGTATGAAGATCCTCCTTATTCTCTGTGTCTTCGCAATCTAACCTCTCAATAAATGTATAGCTTTCATAAGAGACCTACCCAACATAAATCCAAACTGATTATGAGAAATCTTTGTAACAAGTCTTAACCAATGTTCAATTACTCTCTCCCATAATTTAGAAGTATGACACATATCAACATAATTCTTCTAAAATTTGCACAAATTCTTATGCATCCCCTTTATTCTTAAAAATGACCAAAATACTATTCATCCACCCAGACATCTTTTTAGTTTTAAAAAAAATATTAAAGAGTTTAGTAAGCTAAGAAACTCCCAAATATTCTAAATATTTTCACACTTCAATTGGGATATCATTAGGTCCTACAAACTTTCCACCCTTGGTTTTCTTTAAAGACTCTTCAACTTCTTTTTCACTAATGTGACGGTAAATTAAAAAATTGATTATTATTAACGATATTAAGATTACTAAGGCCGATCGTATTTTCAGAAACATCATTGAAAAGTTTATCAAAATAACTCATCCACCTATGTTGAATATCTTTTTTTAAGAAAAACACTTTTTGATTTTAATCTTTAATAAATTTATACTTGAGTTAAATCTTTACTTTTCTTTTCTCTCTGTTTGATTATGTTATACATCGATTTTTCACTATATTTAGTATTTAATCTATTATAAAGATCACTAAAAGCAGAATTTTTAATGTCACAGATAGTTCTTTTAGACTCCCTACGAGTCATTCTATATTTTTCTCATTTCTCTATACATTTAAACTAATTTTTATAACATAAATTCTTAAATTTCATCTTTTCTTGCACATTATTATTCCACCACCAGCTATTTTTATTTATAAAAATTTTTCAATTTGATTTTCCAACTACATCTTTTGTCAATTGTTTAATAGTATTTGTTACTTTGTCCCACATAGAATTTGCATCTTCATGAACATCTCAAATCTTGAAATCCTAAAATTTATTCAAAAGAATAGTTTTATTTGCGTCTTTTAAGTGCCCTCATTTAATTCTATGACAATGATTCTTATTATTCTTTATTTTAAAACTCTTCAACTTAAAATCTAGAACTAATAATCGAAGTTGAGTACTTAAATTCTTACTTTGGAATGACCTTATAATCTTTACTTTCTCGACAATCTCTTATTCTCATAAAAAAATATCAATTTGTATTTTATTAAATCCATTCGTATAAGTAATAATATGCTCATTTCTTCTCTTGAATAAAATATTAGCAATACAAAAATCATACGCTAAAGCAAAATCTAATATGTCTCTACCTTTTCATTAATCACTTCAAAGTCGTAGTCACTATGAATATTTCTAAAATTTTCTACTACTTTATCTACATGTCCATTTAAATTTCCTTTAATAAAAATTCTTTCTTCAACAGGTAAAATTTGTATTAATTCTTTTAAGATTATTCTAAAATTTTTCTTTAGAACCTATATCTAAACCTACTTGAGGAACACAAACAATTATAATATTAAAAAAATCTTAGCATCAACAACAATCTTATGGCTATAATTATATCTCCAGTTATATTAATTTTTACAATATTATATTTTAAACTCTTATCTATAATTACACCTACACCATTTCTAGTGTGACTCTTACATGAATATCAAAGTTATTAATCTCATTAGTTTTTTCTCCAACCCATTTAGTTTCTTGAATACATAAGATATTTATCTATCTATGAATCATAATATCTCTATGAATCATAATCATAATATCAACTAATTCTATTAATTTATCTATGAAAGTACCTATATTCCAAGATCTCATTCTAATATTAGTTTTATAGACTAACTTATTTACCCACATCCATCTGTAATGCGAGAATCATTTTTTATTTGACACTACACCCGAGCGTCGATGTAACGACTCTCACACACTTTTCACCGTATTCAGGTCATAAAGCGTGTTGCTTCCAGGGGATGCCCTAGCATTTACAAAATAAAATGATTCATGTCATGATTTTTCAACAAATTTTACATTGGTTGTCAACTACCTAATGCAGCCCTCCACTTTTTCACATCCGGGGCTTGAGACACGTAATGATAGTGCTAAAAAAATCATATTTAGAAAAAAAAATCAAGAATGTAAAATATGGAGCTAGAATGAAGAAATAAGGAAACAAATACACTTGCAATAGGAATCCATGTATATTGGATCACATTGGCGGGCACCATGAACTCAGTTTAAACTTTTCATACTAATCCTCTAATGATTGGACAGCTTGTTGCTTCTAACATATGAACACTAAATGTGGAATTAAAAGAAAGCGGCATTTACATATACACCATACAATTCTTATATATTTACATATCTAACACCTAAAGTTTCATATTTACATATAGAACACTCAAATATTTGACATCACATCAAAAGCACCACTATCACTAACCTTTTAAAAGTGAAATATACATTTTCATGCATAGATTTTTAATACCAAAATGTAAAAGATGTAAATATCAAAGGTGTTAAATATGTAAATGCATAAGAATTTGGTGTTACGTATGTAAACTTCCCTGAAAGGAAAAAAAGCCTATTGTAGTCGAACTACTTCAAAACTATGCAACGACACCCTCAATTATAGAAGAGGTTGCCCATCTAGCATAGTAGATGGATTACAAGTGTTCCTTAGCCATGATAACCAGAATGAAAAATGACATCGTAAAACTATGTGGTTCATACACGGTGGCGCGGTATGAAAGATTATATTTGCAAAATAAAAACTGGCAAGTATGAAGAAAATAATTGCAAAGTTGCACTCACCAAAGGTCGATCATCGTCATCAACAGGAACCTTTTCCATAGCAGCGAGGGTGGTCAAGCCACCTACAACCATACCGAACACCGTGTGCTTGAAATTTAAATGGTTTGCAGACTTGTATAGAACGAAGAACTGGGAGCCATTTGAATGAGGTCCACTGTTAGCCATACTAACAACACCCCTTCCTGAGTGCAATACTTTTGAATTTAACTCATCCTTGAAAGGCTTACCCCAAATGGACTGCCCACCCGTTCCAGTACTCGTCGGGTCCCCGCCTTGAATCATAAAGTTTCTAAAGCAATTGGAATCAGAATTCTATGTGAAACAAAAAAAAAAAAGGGTGGGAGAAGTTTTACATACATACCATTTGATATCCTATCTATTTACATATCTAACAACTAAACTTCAATTTTACAAACATGCCAGCTTGCCTATGCATAAAAAGGTGTGTTTCACATTTTAAAAGTTAAAATAGTGGTACTTTTGATGCGATACTAAAGATTTGGATGGTATAAATGTAAAAAATAAAGTTTAATTGTTAGAAATGTAAATACATGGGAATTTAGTGGTATGCATGTAAATGGCCCAAAATAAAGTAAATCAAGCCATAGTGTTAGACTTTCAACATACCTTATATTTCGATGAAAAGAAATCCCATTATAATATCCCTGTTCACAGAGAGTGATGAAATTTTCACATGCCCGCGGAGTTATATCACAGTGAAGCTCCACATTCAAATCGCCATGTGTCGTATGCAGCTGAACATATCCTTTTTTCTTTGGATTTTTTTCAACTTTGATATATTCAAATTCATTTTTTGTAACTGGATCATAAGAAGTTGATGTAAATGATCTTGAAGCAGCGCCGGTGGTGAAACGGCTTTTCACCTTCATATATTTAAAATATTACAGTATGAGAATCGAAGTAATAAACATAAAATTCGGAAAAAATGCCAAGTGATAAAAAATGAGTAAAGTGTCAAAATAGGCCTCTAAATGTTTAAATGAGCCATTGTAGTCCAGGAGCCCATAAAAGTGTCAAATTAATCCCCAAACTCTTTAATTTGTGGCAGAAATAATCCTCAGTGGGTAATATTTCAACCAATATTAAAATAATATGGGAACTAAATTGATACTTGTATATACTCTGGGACTAAAATGACCCCCTGTAAAGATTCAAAGGACTATTTTGACACTTTTCTAGATAAAAAATTAAGCTAACACCACTCGGATAGAAATAAAGAAACTTCACATACTAGCTTCGCGTTTACAGGTGCCCTTTCTCCTGCCCTGTGCATCGCAATACGAGCTGCTGTTTTGTCACTAGAAGCTACTTTTGCTGCTTCTGCGCTTCTCCCATAAACAGAAGCAGATGCTGCATCCACGATACTAAAAGATTGAGTCGGTTTATCATCTCCTTTAGAATTTGAATTTTTATCTTCTTTGATGCGTGATCTTGCAGCCAAAATGGCAGCAAGAGCGGATGCTCTTTCATTTTGTGCTTTGCTTCCACCACCACCAAGTAAAGCAACTTGCTTTGCCTTTTCCGTTCCAAGATCTAGCAGCATTTGCTTGATATCACCAGAAACATTTATGTTATAGGTAGGATCATCTTTCATCCTATTCAAATCTGAAAAATGTTAACAATAAGTTATCTTCTTCATGCAATATATATCAGAGAGGATGAATCTAATATTTCCTCCATTAAAAAGGGAATTCTCACCATCATCTTCAAGCTTCAGATTTTTTTTGAAATGATCAAATTCAACGACCACCTTGCTATCAAGTGCATGCGGATTCTGTTGATAAATCAGCAGAACAATGAGCCAATAGAGAGTAAATGGTAGCTTGAAAATAGACAAAAGTTTCGGAATGGTCCATTGACTCTTTATATGGTGCCGTTTAAGTCCCAGAGTCTATAAAAAATGCTAAGTTAGTCCCCAGGTTCTTTTAATGGGCGCTAAAATATTCTTCTCTGTGGATTATTCCAGCCCATAATAAAAGAGTCTGCAGACTAATCTGACACTTTTATATATCCGAGATTAAAATGGCCTCATATAAATAGTCAAGAAACTATTTTTGGCAATTTACTCCTTGAAATATCATACAAATCGTTTGACTAATCACCTGAATTGTTATCAAATCATCTTTCGTAAATGGTTCATCTGTTAGTAACTCCTTCCAGTTTTTGTTTTTGATATTTAGTTCTTTGATTGCCTGTTGCATGATAAAATATCAAGATTTATTAACCGAAAAGCATATATCTCAGACCCCTGCAAATATTTCTTTTTCTCAGGGAATCATACCTCATGAGAGAACACATTTCCAGTAGTTTTTACAGCAGTGATGTGTGTAAATTCTGTGAAGACTTTGTTGAGAACAGGACAATGAAACTCCCCTGCAATAAAAGAAAAAAAATCAAACACACAAATGAATGTTTTTAATAGTTTTCCTTAGAAATGAATGCAAATCCGTTGTAGAAGATATCCTTCATAGAATGGTACAAAAGAAAATGGACTTTCATGGTTTGTCTGATTATACTTTTCTAAGTTAAACTCAAACAAAATTTCTTATTTCCCATTTAAATTTTATGTTTTTACATATCTAAACCCCATTCATATTTACATGCATACAACTCAAATCTTTAACATCACATCAAAAAGTACCACCATCACTACCTTTTTAAAAGTGAAATCCACCTTTTTCATGCATAAGTTTATGACACAAACATATTATAAGGGTAAATATCAAAACTTTGGGTGTTACATAAATAAATATATAAGATTTGTTGGTATGAATGTAAATGACCCTTTTAAATATCCAGCAGACCTAATGTTTCTACCATAAATTGTAAAACTAGAAATAGACATTACAGTGATTCAACAGCAATCTATGTAATTTATCATCTGTTCATATAATTCTATGACCACTGGAGTTAACGCTCAGTCATATTTTTTCAGAGATAAAGGAAATAGAATCTGAAAAAAGAATAAAATCTGGTTCTGAGATACCATCTGAATTCTTGTGGAATGTCAGGGGAATTAAATCATCCTGCTTCAGAGGCCCTCCATTGACAGGATGCTTCCCAAACTTCCTAATATACGGGATTATATTCCTGCGCCGAATATCTCAATACCTTATAAGTCAGATCAAAAGAAAAACCATATCATCTTCATTAAACAATACAAATTAGGGCAAGGGAGGTAAGCGAGAAGTCGCTTACATTACATCGAACACACTTCCATCATCCGTGCAGACGGGATCCACGAAAGGAGTGAATGTTAACCTACAGCCAAAAAATGTAAAATTTGGAAATGAAGAAATACAAAGGAAAAAAAAAACCATGAGATTGTCAAAATTGAAAGAGAATTACGCACGAGCAGCAGTAGAATGGAAGGCGCTTGAAAGGTATGCCATTGTCTTTGGATTTAGCGCCGCCCCACTCCGTTGCCCATTCTGTCTTCGTGATGAACATTCGATCCTTGCTGTGCTGTTTCTTCCCCATCTTCTCCGATGAACACCGAGAGCAAGGGAGAAAGGGGCTGATCAGCAAAGACTTATGAGGCTCTTTGGTAGCAGGATTTGATCAGGATTTAACCTAAATCCTGCCAAGCATCAAAAATGACAACTTCAAATCCCGTTTCTCCACCGTTTTGCCTTAAATCCCGGATTTAATAAATCCTGTTGGGAGGTGGATTTATGGGATTCAGAAGATCTGAAGCGCGGGAAGCGGGGTGGGAGAAAGGATGAGAAAGATGAAGATTAGTCCGGTACGAGTGGAGTGGGAAAAAAAGATATACGGGAGTATAGGAGTTCTTTTGTACGCCGCAATCCCGTCGTTGCCTTCACAGGTAGCTCGAGTCGCGACTGTACCGCTAGGGTTTCGAGCAGGGTAGGACGAAGAAGGGGACAGTAGAAGATGGTTTCGAGCGAAAGGAGAGGGGAGCGAGGCAGCGAAGGTTTGCGGGCTGCAGAGGGTATTTGTGAAAATATGTTGATTTAGTGTAATTTTATTTTAATCAGAATAAATTATGGCTTTTTTTTGCATGTTAATCTATGCTTATTTTATATTTTATGATTATCTGATATTTAAAAAATTATATTTTTATCATTTTATGCAGGTTATAGGATTTAAGGTGCTTCGAGGAGAAAAAAAAGATAATTGGGAATAAAATAATGAAAAACTAGTCGGGCGCTCTTCCAACAGAGTGCACTTTTTCCAAGCCCAAATCTACCTGGCTTGTGAGACAAAGCGGGTGGAATACATGCGTTGTGACTAGGGCACATCCACACCGTACCAAGCGCCCTCACGCCATATGCTCAGCGCTCATGTGCTATATCTTGACCATGGCACAACGCCCCCCGCACTCATTAAATGGTGTAAGTGTGCCTTACGTATATGCATACATGCCACCCTGTGCCAGTCTCGAACTAGTTTCAAAGTACCTGCATCGGGCACGAGCGTGCCCAGTATGCAAATTCAATTAAGGGAAGATTTCTTGCCATTGAAAGAGCCCTAACTATAAATACATGTCTTGGATTGAGAGGAGACATCTTTGAACGATTGTAGACAAAGTTTTCTGCAAAAGAGCGAATTGAGTTTGTTCCCTAGGGGTTCTTCTTTTTCCTTGAGGGAGAAAGTTTCTAGGCTTGTTTTTCTTGTGCTTTAAAAGGGAACTTGTGAGAGAGGAGGATTTTGGAGTTAATTCATTGTACGACAATGATTATTGCTTGTGTGGAGAGTGAACTCTTGGGTTGTAGATTTTTACTTTCATATATTTAACTCTTTTTTATATTTTAAATGAATTATTTCTCGGTTTTCCATCCCATTTCTCGTATCAAAATCTCTTTCGTGCTTCTGTGATGTAAGATTAGATTGTTTTATATGGTTTTCTCCATATGATTTCCCCATATATGTTTTTTTGTAATGTAATGCATGTATGTTGTTGAGTTAAACTTTTGAACTTAGTTTACTATTGATTTGGCTGGTTAGGATGTTAAAAACACTATGAATGTCATCTGCTAGAAAAAATATGTTAACTTACCAAAACCTAGTGGAATATGTATATTGTCATTAGGTTTTTGCACTTTATATAAGGGATCTGAAGAGTGATGGGAAACACTGCACGGTTAAGTCTCACTTAACTGTAATATAGTCTCCAACTCTTGTTAAGATCTAGACATAGACTAAAAAGTACTTTGCCCCTGGTTGACAAGTATCATATAGGAAAAAATTTGTTAGGAGAACCACGAAAACGCTTTACACCTGAGTCACAGAAGCACGACCCTCATCCCCTTTTAAGGACACTCGAACTCATGCTTCTTGTTGTTTCTAGATTTTGTTGTTTTGTTTATTGTGTATACTTTCATTTTTACAATTATGATTGAATAGAACTAGGTTTCGTGTGTTAGTAAACTAGAGTTCACCTGTAGGAATAGCTTTTTAACTATTTTCTCATGTGATCGACACACAGAATCAAAACACTTATGCTTGCATGCTTGGCCGCTTTTAGTGGTTTTACATACCAACCATTCAAAAGGTTGAATAAAACATTTCAGCCACGCAAACTTTAAATATAACATTTTAACTAAACATAATCTTAAATATTACATTTTAATCACATGAAACTTTCAGTCGAAGTCTTCACTAATGCGTAAAGGAAGGTAGTTGTACTGAAAAAAAAAGTCATTACAATGTTATATTTTAAATTTGAATTGTTAAAATGTTATATTTAATATATTTACTGTTTGGTACGTAAAAACCCCAATATATGTTAAATACATAGCATATAAGCTTAGTTTAAAACATAAAATATACAATGCATAGACACACACACATACAGACATCTACACACACACACATATATATATGTATATGTGTATATATATATATATATGTAGATATATATATATATGTATATATGTCTATGTGTATATGTATGTATGTATATAACAAAAATACTATTGTGTATAACAAAAATACAAAAATATATATATAAGATTAAATCTTACATAACATACAAATTTTGAAAAATACATATTGTGTATAACAAAAATATTGTCACGAATCTCTCATTTTTGGGCGTACAATTTAATAAAATTCCATTTCTTACTTTATTTTCTAGGAAGTTTATGTACCACACAATTTTTATGGATTTACATATCAAACACATGATATTTATATTTATACCATTTTCGTGCTATAAATTTACACATAAGAAGGGTACATTTGACTTTTAAAGATGGGTAATTGTGTTATTTTTAAGGTGATGTTCAAGAGTTTCAGTGTTTATGAATATAAATATTAAAATTTATATGTTTGATATATGAATAAATAGAAATTGTGTGCCATGTGTAAATGGCTCCACTTTTTATCACGGGATTTGACACGCCGAGTCGTAACTAGGGGTGTAAACGAGCCGAACATGAGTGAGCCCGGGCTTAGCTCGTGTTCGGGTTGTTTATATTTCGAGCTCAAAAAGTGTGTTCGTGTTCGGCTCGCTTGCTTAGCGAGCCGACAAGCCGAACACGAGGCGTT